ATTTTTTATATTTTAAATAAATAAAAATTTTAAATACTAGAAGTTATATTTAAAAAAATTCATAAAATATTTAAGACACGTGTGTCGGACATGCGTGTCCAATTTGTATTTAATATTTTTTAATCTCACACATTTTCGGCATGTCCGATCTGTATCGGAGTGTCGGACGTGTGCCGTGTCGGATAAGCGTCTGACACCGCGGGCCTTTTTTAGGAGAAGTGTCAGTGCAACATAGAGTTCTTTGGCAACCTATGTTGGATTTCATGTGGGAGACATTGGGGCTCTTACAAAATTTCTAGTATGCGACTTTCTGGCATGATAATCTATAGATTATGGAATTTCAGAAGTATTTTTTTTTCTTACAAATATGATTCTTAGTTTTGCACAGGAGGTATTTTCTGAATAGATTTTGGTTGGATCTATAATTTTTTATAGTCCACTTAAACAAATGGGAGTTTGAAGCTTATAAGGAGAGGTTATCTTCTTGTACAAGCTGGCGGTTTGATTAGGCGATTTTTGCCTTTTCTACCTATTCTTTCAAATGTGGTTATTTATTTCATAATTTGCTATGTGATCTATTTCTATGCAAGTTGGATACAATATGGACTTTCAGAAGTATATTTTTCAATTAATTGTGGTGCTTTTTGTGATTTTAATTTTTATGTGCTATTTTTAGTAAAAAGCTATTAAATTATTTTTTTTATATCTTCATATTTTTTAGCTTTCTTCTGGATAAGGAATAATTGCTCTAGTTAAAAAGTTTGAGATATGCAAATTTTGAGTATATTTGTATGATTTTGTGCATCTCCTTCTAAGCGTACGTGATCAAATCATTTTTTCTAAAAATTTTACATCATATTTTGTAGTAGAGCTTAATGCTACATCATAATATCTTATAGAAGTAAGATATAACATTTGGGTCGGCTAACAAATATAATAAAAGATGCAATTAAAATGAAATCAATTTAGTTATGATATTATAATGTCTTAACATGATTATTATAGTGCCAAGAGTTCTATCCTTCCAGTTGATGGGAGGCATGATTCTGGTTTGGTTAGATAATTTAGAAGAATTCTCTGAAAGCTATATTATATTTGATTTCCAAAGAGTTGAGATTGCTAAATAAAAGTAAAATATTGATATTGCAACAAAATATATATAAACTAATGTGAAATACAAACTTAAGGAATACTATGTATTTAATGATTATAAGGATCAATTATCAATTTAAGGCTTTCAAACAAGATGATTGTAGCATTTTTAGACAATTTGTTTGTTTTTAAAGTTTTATTGATATTATTTTTCTATGTATTATCTTGTTATTACTAAATGTTTCATTAAAAAGTTTTGGCAAGAAATCAAGCATAAATTGTGCTACAATTCTCGAAATACATTAGATTAATTTTTTACATAAATATTTACGGTTAGATTAATATTACAATGATTCTCTTGTTTGCACTATTGCAGCTATGATTAATATTCCTATAGAAACATCATTATCATAATGTTTGGTGCGCTAAACACACACCAAATCAAGAATCATGTATTCTTAAATCTAATCCTTTAAAAAAAAAAATTATTTTTGATATTCTTCAAATGATTTGTTGGATGCATAAAATAAGTTACCATTATAATATGATTTTGAGTCTAATTTTGTTAAATATGAATTGGCAACATGATCTAGATTAGAACATGTTCAACAAATTAAACCTAAAATTAAGCAAGAGTTAAAGCTTGAATCTAAAATCGAGCTTGAAGTCATATCTGAACATAAGTCTCAATCAAAATATAAATGTGAATCTATATTTGGACATGAGAAAATTTTTGAACTTAACTGTTTATTTTATTTGTGGTTCTTGGTTTTTTTATTCACTAATTCATAAAATGAACTTTATGGAAAAAAATGCATCAATACATCCATGATAATTACTTTTTTTGCAAAACATGAAATTGAAATCTCTAACTAATTGAAACCAGAAGTTCATAATTCATAACGACTATTCTTGAGATCATTTGGATTATTTTTCTTTAAAGATGTTTGCCCATATGATAAACATGTCACATCTTTGTTATTCAAAAATACTAATGAACTTTATAAATATAAATTTTAAGTTTTATTCATCATGAAAATCTCTCACCAATTGGTCATAATACATCCATTATGGTGCATATTAGTATTTTAGCATTATCATTACATTTATCATATTATATTGCATTATTCATTAGTTATTTACTAATTTGCTGGACTTTTATTACAGCATTTGTAGGAAACTTGCTTTTAATGATAAGAATTTTGATTTTATTCAGTATACGAATTAGAGATATTAAAAATTAATTTTGGTTATAGGATAATGATTCGTCTGAATATTTGAAGGCTTACTACTGGATTCCTTGAGGATTTGATTATTTTTCTTAATTATTTTTCAACTAGTTGGGAAAGAATGCTTGCAAGTTAAAAGTAATAATAAATTCTCAGATAAATCCTTTTTTCAATATATTTGATTTTTCTTTATCTTATTAACCACCAGTTTATGCCTTGAATGCTTGCAAGTTAAAAGTATTAAAAAAATTCTCAGATTAATCCTTTTTTCAATATATTTATTTTTTCTTTATCTTATTAACCAGTAACCACCAATCTATGCCTTGAATTCTTCTCTCTTTTCTCATTCTATTTCGAATTTCATATTCGGCATATCATTCACACAATTTTCAGGTGGTTATGAAATATTATTCTTAAAGCTATCATTGATAATAAAATCATCTTTGCTATTGAAGGTGGATCCCAAAGATATCTTAAAAGGTGAAAATAAAGGTCTACATATCTTGAATGTCTCTATTTAAAGTGGAATAACTATGCTCATATCTGCTTGATCAATATTAATTAAATAATTTATTGAAGCCAATTTTTTTAGGCCTGGTAGATTAATGTGAAATTCCTTCCTCATATATTCCTGTGACTAGCTATGACTATTTGCTGCTGGGTGACTTCTTCATGGAGTAGTATGATGCTCCTACGAATTATCCTGTTACAAGGAGCTCAATACTTATGTTTCGCAAGTTTTTAGTGGTTCTCTCTAGCATTTTGCTGGAGTTCCTTGTGGGTTGACTGTTGGTAAGATTTCTTGCTGTTCAATGATGTTTTTTGATAGTTTTGGTGGAATCTCCATTCAGGAGATGTGTGTGGTAATACAAGATTTCTCTGGTGGCCTTTTGGGTTGATAATTGATAGATTTGCAATTTCAAAAGAAATTTAATCATAAATATGATTCTTACATTTGTACATATGGAGTAATTTTTAAATAGATATGTTGGCTGTGAAATTTTTTCTAGTCCTATCTTAAACTAGTGGGACCTTAAAAATTTTTTAAAATGATTATCTTCTTGTAAAAGCGAGAGAATTGATTTGATGACTTTTATTCTTTCTATTTTTTTTTATGTTGTTGTTGTTGTAAATCTTGTTATTGGTTAACTTCGATGATTTATTTTTATTCAAGTTTGCATATAACATGGTTTCTTGTGTTATAATGTTATATGCAAACTTGCATAAGTGATAGAATAGTCCCTCTCAAACTTGAGGGAAAATTCTATAAGATGGTAGTGAGACCTACAATGCTTTATGGTGCAAAATGCTGGCCATTAAAAGAAAAGCATAATATTAAGTTAAGTGTTACAAAGATAAGGATGCTCAAGTGGATTGACGGCTTTATTCTTAGAGACAAGATACAAAATGAGCATATGTGTGATAAGGTTGGAGTAGCTCCAGTGGAAGATAAGATTAGAGGGAGTCACCTTAGATGGTTCGGTCATATAAAACGGCGGCCTTCCGATGACCCGGTTAGGAAAGTAGATGTATTAGATTTGACTTATGTTAAGAAAGTTAGAGGTAGACCTAAAAAGACTTGGTTATAAAATATTAAAAATGACATTTCTTTATTAGATTTAGATGAGAATTTGATTCTTAATAGGGCACAATGGAGAAAAAAGGATTCATGTAGCCAACCCCACATAGTGGTATAAAGGCTTGTTGATGTTGTTGTTGCTGCTGCATATAACATGGCTTCTGCAATTGCATCATTTCAATTAATTATTTTGTAAAAGGTTGTTAAACCTATTAGTTTTGCTGGATTTATTTTTGTGGTTTTTTTTTTCATCTCAAACAATGAATAATTATCCAAATTAAGATATTTAATATGTGAATTTGAGCACGTTTAAGTAATTTTGTGCATCTCAATGCAGATCATCATAAACTCTACACCCTAATATCATATATCAACTCTTTTAGCCTGCTCTTGCTCTGGCTTTGTCTAAGCGTACTTCATCAGCTTGTTATCTACTCTAATATAATGCTAATGGACCACCTGATACTTGCCAATCTGTAGTGTTCTTGCTCAGACTACCTCTCCTTGATGTTGATACCTTTTGGCTTCACCATTCTGCCCTCTCTATCACATCTCGCCGAGCATTGGGGCTTGAAGATCCAATTTTTTTGGGTACTTATACCAATTCCCTCTATTTCTTCCTCCTTCGACACTTAACAATGATTGTCGTCTTGCCCAAGGGGATTCATCTATCTCACTCCCTTCTGCAGTTTTTCAATCTTCAAAAGCTCCCACGTTTTCTTCATATAAGAATCCAATACTGATACCTGTAGAACATTTGATTGGTGTCTACTTGGTGACTTTTCCTTTTCTCACGCTACTTGGGCATCTATCTCACTCCCTTCTGCAGCTTTTCAATCTTACGAGAAACCTATCACTCTTGGTTTGGGTTGTATTTTTTTAACCAATCCACCTTATATTCTTTGGGTTCTATTTCTGATAATTTTTTGCAAATAGATTTTTTGTATTTCGTTCTATCTGATACGACTAGTCTGCTGATGTTTATTTGTGTTAGATACTCAGAAGAAAATCTTGAACTATTCTTTTATTGTGTATAATGTTTTACTCCTCCATTCTCTACCTGCTGATGTTCCCTCTTACTATATGTTACTCGTAATCAGGCATTTGACGAAGCGATCGCTGAACTTGATTCCCTTGGAGAGGAATCTTACAAAGACAGCACTCTTATAATGCAGCTTCTTCGTGATAATCTCACCTTGTGGACCTCTGATATGCAGGTCAGTTAAATATTTATATGTGCAACTCATTTTTTTTTTAACATTTTACATAGAAATGAGTATATGCGTGATAGGAAATACTTGAGTTCTCAAGTAATCCAAGAGGAAATACTTGAGTTCACAAGCAACCCTAGCAATAATTGACAAAAACAGTGAGAAAAATAAGAAAATCTGGAGGAAAATAATTTAATACGATAGATTGCTATAGTAGAAGCAAAGCAAAACAAACTCCAAGCAAGATACAATTGATCCTCAATTCGAGAGGAGAATTGTCTCTCCCAATTTCTAGATTTTGGATTTAGAGCTCAAGACACCAAGAAGACTCCAAGAAAACAACTCCAATCATGCATAACCCTAACCCTAATCCCTCCTCCCATACTTAAAGTATACAATTAATTATTTAAAGCCAAATTACTCCCTTGCCCTTGCCGCCGCCCTCCTTTGCCTCCAATTCCTTTGAATTTGAATCCCTAGTGGGCCCCACTCCTTTCTCTCTCTCCTTATGCCGCCGCCCCTCTTGTAGCAAAGAACCGGCCTCTTCAAAGAGGCTGGTTGGGGTTGGGCCGGTCTACTAGGGACTGGTTTAACAATGCGCCAAAAGGTTGGAGTAGTTCCAGTGATCTTAGTGATCTTTGATTAGAAAGAGTCGCCTTAGATGGTTTGGTCACATAAAACATTGGTCTTCTGATGATCCGGTTCGATTCAGCCTATGTTAAGAAAGGTAAAAGTAGGCTTAAAAAGATTTTAAAATAACTGTTTTTTATCAGTTTTAAATGAGAATTTAACTCTTAATAGGACATAACGGAGAAGAAAAATTCATGTAGCCGACCCTGCATAATGAGATAAAGCCTTGTTGTTGAATATTTTCCGTGCGAACTGATATCTTAATGCTCTATATATACAGGATGAAGGGGGTGATGATATAAAGGAGGCCTCAAAACCTGATAATGAATAGTAGCAAAGAACTGGGATCCTGGCTAGCTGCATTTGCTTTCTTTGCCTTAGTTACTTCTGCTTTTTATGGCATGTTATGCTCCAGTTGTTCACTGATGGCTTTTTATTTTCAGGAATGTTAGTTTGACCATCCTATTGTTATTTCTTTCTTCTCTTCCATGGCTTTTACCTTTACTTGTCTTTTGTGGCCTTGATATTCAGCCTCTGAATCCCTTCTTTTATGGGATTATTGTGCTTGAAGACATGCATTAACATTTTCTTTGTTGCCTGGAAAAAAATTATTTCTGTTGTCTGCTTTATTTCTTATCGTGGTGTGTCTGAACTTGCAAAGCTTGTGGTTAGACATGAAGGTAGCTGCTCTCTTTTTTCAGAACAATTATTACGTCCTCCGACCGAATGAGAGAAACATTCGGTTCGCAGGCAAAAATCCCGCGGTATCGAGGTGTACCGAGTTTTTCAAAAAACTCGGTACTCCTCGATACCGTGGGATTTTTGCATTATAACCCAAGTAGTTTAGTAAACCCTTTCCTGGTATTAGATGTTTTTTATTTGTCATACTAGGTCATATCTCCCATACTTACACTATTTATCATAGTATGCATTGGGGTGGAAAACCAAATTACATGATTCAAAGCATAACACATGCATTATATTCATCTTTTCATAAGAAGGGACCCAAACTTATTTGGGTTCCAAAATATTACATTTGATGATTTTGTAGGAGTGCTCTCACACAAGGCCTCATGAGAATATATGGTACCAGGACAACAGATTCTCATGATGTATGACTAGAGAAGTCAATCAAATTATTTCACTGGAGGCCGGGGCTAGAGATAAGGTCACTCTTGGAGACAACACCACCAAGAAAGTGGCAGGTGCAAGAATAATCAAAAACTCTAATAACTTTTAGATTGAAAATATTTTACTTGTTGATGGCTTGTAACATGACATACTCAGCATCTGTCAGCTTTACGATAAAGGCTTTAATACAATTTTTTTTTCAAACACATATATCATTACCTTCAATAACAACATTATTTTATAGGGAAAAAAGATTAACAACATTACATGCTTGATTTAAATAACATTGAATGCGCTACTTTATTTTACTTAAAAATTGATGCTGATGAGTCTTGGTTGTGGCATAGGAGGTTTTGTCATGCCAGCATGGAGAGTAATCAAAATGGACCTAATTAGAGGTGTCCCCAAGTTTAAGTTCACTAAGGATCACTTGTGTGATGCCTGTTAACTAGAGAAACAAGTCCAATCCTCTTTTCCATTCCATTAAGTACATTAAGGATATCTTGAAGAAATATGAAATGGATAAACTCAAGCCAATAAACACTCCCATGAGCTCTAGTGTTCAGTTAGATAAGTATTCAAATAAAAAAATTGTTGATCAAAAGAAGTATATAAGAACGATTAGATCACTACTTTACTTGACTGTTGGCAGACCTGATATAATATTTAGTGTTTATCACTATGTTTGATCTCAAGCTTATCCTAAAGAATCCCACCTGACAATAGTTAAGAGAATTCTTAGATATCTCTTATGGATTAAAAATTTAGGAATCAGGTTACCTAGACAGAACACTTCTTTTGAAATTATTGGGTATTCTGATTCTCATTTTGTAGTGTGTTGGGTGGATTGAAAGAGCACTTTTGAAACTTGCCAATTCATAAGATAGTGTTTAGTCTCCTAGTTTGGTAGAAAACAAAATTTGACTGAACTTTTCACTGTTAAAGTTGAGTACACTGCCTTAGGAAGTTGTGTGTCCCAAATCCTATAATTGAAGCAACAAATTCTGGATTTAAGATTACTTATGGGAAAAACTTCAATTCTATGAGATAACACATGTGCCATCTACATCACTAAAAGTCATATCCAACATTCAAGGACCAACACAGTGACATAAGGCATAATTTTATTTGGGACCATGTTACCAAAGGAGACATTGAGTTACATCATGTAACAACTAAAAATCAACTGGCTGACATCTCTACTAAAACACTGGCTTTGGACACCTCAGCATCTTAAGGACCATATTGGGTGTGATTGATATAAATGCATGAACTTGATGATTACTGAACTCTGAATTTTATATATTTTTTTATTTTTTTGGATCTTTTTTTTATTTCTGACTTTTTATTATTATTGATTTTTTTTTATTTGTTGTTACTTTTTGTGTTTTTATTTTTGATGTTTTTTATTTTTCTTTCAATTTTCTTTTGGTCATTTCTAAAATAATATTTTATGCCTTATTTTGTTTTTAAAAATTTATTATCAATGATTGACATCCCTAAATCACTTAAAGGGTGAAATATTATTGATTATTTTCCTTTGTTTAACTTTTTTTAGTAGTGTAATTTTCTTTTCTAAACAAAATTCTATCTCAAATTAACAACTAGAATTTGCAATTGAGATCTTTTTAACCTTCTTATAGTAATCTATCTTATATAAATAATATTCAAAGTCATTAAATAAATTTCAAGATTTCTTAATCTTATTATCACATTTATCATATGAATTTAATTTGGTTCGTGGTTTATTCCTCCATATATTATTAAGTGAGTTTTTCTTCTCTAATATCTGAATGATGTTCTCACAACTGAGAGTATCTAAAAGTTTCAAAAGGGATCTAGCTTGCAAAAATGACAAAAGGTATAAAATGAGCACAAAAAGAAAAACAAAACTGAAAAGATGCACAATGATCGCAAAAAAAAAAAAGATGCACAAAATGTATAAAAAATCAAAAGATACACAAAGTGCGTCAACCAGTTGACAAGAGGCTTAAAGTAAGCCCACAAGTAAGCAAGCTTCTTTCTCTTTCAAACCTTTAAATTTTAGAAGAATTCATATGTCACTTGATATTTTCAAAGACTTGATTTCAAAAATCTTGATTGTGATTAATTACTTTGATATATTATTCTATAAGATATTTTCTAGAAAGAATTTTTAAACATATCACTTTTTTTTATCCGATTGCTTTTTCTAGGTTAGATCTTTATTTTCAAAAGATGATTTTCCTTGTAAGAAGTCTGAGTTGGGGTTTACAGGATTTGTTGTTCTACTATTTTTAGATTTTGATAATGTTAACTCATTTCATACAAATTTTTAGTTCAATCACATGGAAAATTTATTATTTTCTTGCATTGATAAAAAAAAACTTTGTTTATTTTTGTTATTTTTAGTCCTTTTTAATGTATTTTCATTATTTTATTTTTACACACACATAGATTTACTAGAGCACCACTTTTAGCACCCCGATTAGGGCCGATGATTTGCCTTTTCAATTTTTTATGCTGTTGCACTATTATATGTGGAACGTGTGTTGGTTGACTTGATTACATTGATTTGGTTTGCTCTGAAGATTATTATGATGTTTATTTTATTATTGTACTTTTTTATGATATGATCCATGTGCTAGACTACACATGGGTACGGGGTGCTTTTGCTACTAACGATTTCTTCTTTTGTGGCCATGCTCATGCAGCACTAATAAATTAGGCCAAATAATTAAGCTTTAAAACTAATAATGTTTTCAGTAGATGCTTTAGAAATTGCCAAGCCCCCTTTGAAACTAAAAGAGTATGGCCAAGTGTAATTGGCAATGTGTGTTTTATTTCCATTTATAAACTACTTGGGATGTTTCTTTATTTCATTGCTTAGGATAATCATGTAGGAGAAATTAGATTTTCTTTTTTAAAAGATGTAATTTGTAATATATTTGAGTTGTGAAAATTTTTAAAAGTAAAGAATTTCAATTACTCGGCACCTAAAGAGAAAAAGAAAGGCCCTTTGTAGGAAATTTCTTATTTATTTTGGTACCCTTATGGAGGACAAACTTTATAGAGCCCAAAGGAGAATATTCGAAGGAAAACAATTCAAAGGAAGACGATCTAAAGGAGGATGATCCACTTGAAGAAGAAGAAGAATTAAAGACAAAATTCATGGCTTTTAAGACTAGTATCATTCAGTTGGATTAAAATCTTGGATATTGTCGGTGGTGTCTGGTCACCATTACTTTTTTATAGATTTTGAGCTGTACTTATACAACACTTGTTGTGGACTGTGGACTTTTATTTACTTTGATGATTTATATTGATGTGTTTACCTTTTTTTTTTTTTGAAAAAAATGCAGCAAATTGCATTAAAAGAAAACGGTTACAACCTAAAGCTTCTATACTAAGGATTCCTCCTTTAATATAGACATAAATAAAGGAGGAACCTTATTCTCAATAACATCATACCAAATAAAATCACTCATAATTCCATAGTTAGCACACAAATCGCTAACTTATTACACTTTCTATCAACCCAATTAAAGATAACATTATTGAATTCATTAAATAAATACATACCTTCCAGCTTAGTTCCTCCACTTATTTTGACATTTCTCAAAAACTTCATTACATTCACATTGTCTCCTTCAATTATGATACCCTTATACTTTAACATCCAATCTTTGACCATTACTTTTTTATAAGTTTTGAGTTGTACTTATACAACACTTGTTGTGGACTGTGGACTTTTCTTTACTCTGATGATTTATATTGATGTGTTTACCTTATGTTTTTTTTTTTTTGAAAGAAATGCAGCAAATTGCATTAAATGAAAATGATTACAACCTAAGGCTTCTAAATTAAGGATTCCTCTTTAAATATAGACATAAATAAAGGAGGAACCTTATTCTCAATAACATCATCCCAAATAAAATCACTCATAATGCCATAGTCAGCACACAAATACGCTAACTTATTGCACTTTCTATCAACCCAATAAAACATAACATGATTGAATTCATTAAATAAATACATACCTTCCAGCTTAGTTCCTCCACTTTTTTTGACATTTCTCAAAAACTTCATTACATTCACATTGTCTCCTTCAATTATGATACACTTATACTTGAACATCCAATCTTTGAGCATCTCCTTGATAGATTGAGTGGATAAATACTCCAAAGAAGATATGTCCCAATGTATGTATGGTTTACCAAAAGCTTGTAGGAACCTTCCTTTATGGTCACGGAACACTCCTCCAATTTCACCTTTGTAAGATGAGAGAAGAGAAGCATGCACATTTACTTTTAACCAATGGGGTGGAGGGGGATGCCAATGAGCATTTAACAACCTAGTAGGTTGGTTAATATCTCATGTACCCAAACTTCTATTAATGACAAGAGTAGAACTTAATGCATGGTTGATTGCATTGGAAGCAATCATCAACGAGCTATCACCTTTCCATTTATGAATCAAATTATTCCTTGCCTTCTAAGTGAAGTATACCACATTGCAATATAT